GCCCGGCTGCAGCGGCCGCCTGGCCCGCGCGCAGAGAGCACGGCGTCGGCGCCGCCGCTGAGGACGTGGCGCTCGTCACACCGGCAAGGGCGAGCGGGTCGGCAGCCTCCCGGCGGAGCCACCGGCACGGGGCTACTCACCGCGGCGAAGTCCCCGGGGCCGCAGCGCTCGCCGCGGTAGCTGCAGCTCAGCAGCATGTCCTCGAGCCGGTGGCACGTGCGGTTAAAGAACCCGTGCAGATTGAGGGGCTCGTCCTCRTCCCCGAGGGGCTCGGGGCGGCGCGGGGCGAAGCCCGGCGCGATGCCCGGCTCGTAGGCGACCAGCGGCGCCAGGTAGAGCAGGTCGTGGGGGCTGAGCTGCGAGAGGCGCGCGCGGTTCACGTTGCAGAAGGTGACGGCGGGGAAGGCGAGCGCCGCGCTCTGCTCCTCGCGCAGCAGCGTGACGTGCTCGTACTGCAGGTAGCAGGCGACGCGGTCGGCCACCTGGTAGAGGAAGACGGAGAGGGAGAGGAGGAAGGCGAGCGCCCAGAGCGCCTGCCGGGCGCCCACGCTGCCCTCCACGAAGATGTGGCTCAGCCCGTGCAGGGTGCAGCTGCCGGCGAAGGCCACCAGGTCGGTTGCGGCCGCCGCCGCCGCCTCCTCCTCCTCTTCGTCCTCCTCCTGCCCGTAGAGGATCTCGTCGGCCCCGTCCTCGCCGGTGCCGCCGTCGGCGGCCGCCGCAGCCGCCTGCCTGTCCTCGCGGGAGAAGGACACGGTGCAGAAGATCTGCAGGGGCATCGTGCGGCCGGGGCAGCCGAGCGCAGGGCAGCACGGAGGGCGCACGGAGGGTATTTGAGCAGCGGGGCGAGAGGAGGAGCGAGGGGCGGTTCTGCGGCCGCCCCGTCCCCGGGGACGCGGCAGCGGCACCGCGCGACGCCGCCCGGGCGGCAGCTCCTGCAGGGAGCGCGGTGCCGGCCGGCTGCTCCGGCCGCTGCTCCCGCGGGGCGCCGGGCTCCTCCGGTCGCCATATGTTCGTCGGGCGCCTTGCCGGGGCGGCCGGAGCCAGGATGCGCTGCCCCGAGCGGTGCCGCCCGCGCTCCGCGCTGCCTCTCTCGGCACGCTTGCTCCATGCCGTGATTCAGGTGGCAAATCCCCYGGAGCAGATCCTGGAGGTGCTTCCCGCCTCCGGTGCTGCTGGGCCGGCGGTTCCCGGAGCGGTGCCGGTGCTGCTGGGAGCAGAGCCGGCCCGGCCGCAGCTCCGGCGTCTCCGGCCGGCGCCTGGGAGGCCCTGGCTTGTGGTTCGGCTCCTTCCTGTGCTCAGCGCTCCGTAAAAGTATCCGGCGCAACCGCAGAGCCGGCGGCCGCGTCAAGGCGCCAGGGAGAGCGGCCTGCAGGGCCCCTCCGTGCCGGCTTATGGAGCCCGGCATTCCCAAAGCGGACAAAGMAGCGGGGCCAGGGACAGATCCGGGTGATCCCGGTGCCAAAGCCCTGCTCTTCCCGAGCACAAGTGATGCCAGGGTCCATCCCGGACCGGCCGAGCCCTGTGTTCCCGGGCCAGAGCGAGGCTGGCTGGTGTCGCCGCCGAGCGCAGCGTCGCGCCGGGGTGACCTTGGGGACCCGAGCCAGCGCCGGCCCCGAGGCCGGGATGAAATTTCACGGAGCTGCGGCCAGCTCGGCGCCGCGGGAGCAGCTCCGGCCGTCCCGCTCCGGCCGCGGGCGCCAGCGGCTCGG